TGGTTCTTCACGTTCTACAGATGTAGATGCCACTGGCTCTTCACATTCTGTAGATGTAGATGCCACTGGTTTTTCACCTTCTGTAGATGTAGATGCAACTGGTTCTTCACGTTCTGCAGATGTAGATGCCACTGGTTCTTCACGTTCTGCAGATGTAGATGCCATTGGTTCTTCACATTCTGCCGATGTAGATGCCACTGGTTCTTCACGTTCTACAGATGTAGATGCCACTGGTTCTTCACGTTCTAGAGATGTAGATGCCACTGGTTCTTCACATTCTGCAGATGTAGATGCCACTGGTTATTCACGTTGTGTAGATGTAGATGCCACTGGTTCTTCATGTTCTGCAGATGTAGATGCCACTGGTTCGTCACATTCTGTAGATGTAGATGCCACTGGTTCTTCACGTTCTGTAGATGTAGATGCCACTGGTTCTTCACATTCTGTAGATGTAGTTGCCACTGGTTCTTCACCTTCTGTAGATGTAGATGCCACTGGTTCTTCACGTTCTACAGATGTAGATGCAACTGGTTCTTCACGTTCTGCAGATGTAGATGCCACTGGTTCTTCACGTTCTGCAGATGTAGATGCCACTGGTTCTTCATATTCCGTAGATGCCACTGGTTCTTCACATTCTGCAGATGTAGATGCCACTGGTTCTTCACGTTCTGCACATGTAGATGCCACTGGTTCTTCACGTTCTGAAGATGTAGATGCCACTGGTTCTTCACATTCTGTAGATGTATATACCACTGGTTCTTCACGTTCTACAGATGTAGATGCCACTGGTTCTTCACGTTCTAGAGATGTAAATGCCACTGGTTCTTCACATTCTGCAGATGTAGATGCCACTGGTTCTTCACGTTCTGCAGATGTAGATGCCACTGGTTCTTCACCTTCTGTAGATGTAGATGCCACTGGTTCTTCACGTTCTCTAGATGTAGATGCCATTGGTTCTTCACGTTCTGCAGATGTAGATGCCACTGGTTCGTCACATTCTGCAGATTTAGATGCCACTGGTTCTTCATGTTCTGCAGATGTAGATGCCACTGGTTCTTCACATTCTGCAGATGTAGATGCCACGGGTTCTTCACGTTCTGTATATGTAGATGCCACTGGTTCTTCACGTTCTGCAGATGTAGATGCCACTGGTTCTTCACGTTCTGTAGATGTAGATGCCATTGGTTCTTCACGTTCTGCAGATGTAGATGCCACTGGTTCTTCACGTTCTGCAGATGTAGATGCCACTGGTTCTTCATGTTCTGCAGATGTAGATACCAATGGTTCTTCACGTTCTGTAGATGTAGATGCCACTGGTTCTTCACGTTCTGTAGATGTAGATGCCACTAGTTCTTCACGTTCTGCAGATGTAGATGCCACTGGCTCTTCACCTTCTGCAAATGTAGATGCCACTGGTTCTTCACCTTCTGCAGATATAGATGCCACTGGCTCTTCACATTCTGCAGATGTAGATGCCACTGGTTCTTCACGTTCTACACATGTAGATACCACTGGTTCTTCACGTTCTGAAGATGTAGATGCCACTGGTTCTTCACATTCTGTAGATGTAGATGCCACTGGTTCTTCACGTTCTACAGATGTAGATGCCACTGGCTCTTCACATTCTGTAGATGTAGATGCCACTGGTTTTTCACCTTCTGTAGATGTAGATGCAACTGGTTCTTCACGTTCTGCAGATGTAGATGCCACTGGTTCTTCACGTTCTGCAGATGTAGATGCCATTGGTTCTTCACATTCTGCCGATGTAGATGCCACTGGTTCTTCACGTTCTACAGATGTAGATGCCACTGGTTCTTCACGTTCTAGAGATGTAGATGCCACTGGTTCTTCACATTCTGCAGATGTAGATGCCACTGGTTATTCACGTTATGTAGATGTAGATGCCACTGGTTCTTCATGTTCTGCAGATGTAGATGCCACTGGTTCGTCACATTCTGTAGATGTAGATGCCACTGGTTCTTCACGTTCTGTAGATGTAGATGCCACTGGTTCTTCACATTCTGTAGATGTAGTTGCCACTGGTTCTTCACCTTCTGTAGATGTAGATGCCACTGGTTCTTCACGTTCTACAGATGTAGATGCAACTGGTTCTTCACGTTCTGCAGATGTAGATGCCACTGGTTCTTCACGTTCTGCAGATGTAGATGCCACTGGTTCTTCATATTCCGTAGATGCCACTGGTTCTTCACATTCTGCAGATGTAGATGCCACTGGTTCTTCACGTTCTGCACATGTAGATGCCACTGGTTCTTCACGTTCTGAAGATGTAGATGCCACTGGTTCTTCACATTCTGTAGATGTAGATACCACTGGTTCTTCACGTTCTACAGATGTAGATGCCACTGGTTCTTCACGTTCTAGAGATGTAAATGCCACTGGTTCTTCACATTCTGCAGATGTAGATGCCACTGGTTCTTCACGTTCTGCAGATGTAGATGCCACTGGTTCTTCACCTTCTGTAGATGTAGATGCCACTGGTTCTTCACGTTCTCTAGATGTAGATGCCATTGGTTCTTCACGTTCTGCAGATGTAGATGCCACTGGTTCGTCACATTCTGCAGATTTAGATGTCACTGGTTCTTCATGTTCTGCAGATGTAGATGCCACTGGTTCTTCACGTTCTGTAGATGGAGATGCCACTGGTTCTTCACGTTCTGCAGATGTAGATGCCACTGGTTCTTCACGTTCTATATATGTAGATGCCACTGGTTCTTCACGTTCTGCAGATGTAGATGCCACTGGTTCTTCACGTTCTGTAGATGTAGATGCCATTGGTTCTTCACGTTCTGCAGATGTAGATGCCACTGGCTCTTCACGTTCTGCAGATGTAGATGCCACTGGTTCTTCATGTTCTGCAGATGTAGATACCAATGGTTCTTCACGTTCTGTAGATGTAGATGCCACTGGTTCTTCACGTTCTGTAGATGTAGATGCCACTAGTTCTTCACGTTCTGCAGATGTAGATGCCACTGGTTCTTCACGTGTTGCAGATGTAGATGCCACTGGTTCTTCACGCTCTGCAGATGTAGATGCCACTGGTTCTTCACGTTCTGAAGATGTAGATGCCACTGGTTCTTCACGTTCTGCAGATGTAGATGTCACTGGTTCTTCACGTTCTGCAGATGTAGATGCCACTGGTTCTTCACGTTCTGCAGATGTAGATGCCACTGGTTCTTCACGTTCTGCAGATGTAGATGCCACTGGCTCTTCACGTTCTGCAGATGTAGATGCCACTGGTTCTTCATGTTCTGCAGATGTAGATACCTATGGTTCTTCACGTTCTGTAGATGTAGATGCCACTGGTTCTTCACGTTCTGTAGATGTAGATGCCACTAGTTCTTCACGTTCTGCAGATGTAGATGCCACTGGTTCTTCACGTGTTGCAGATGTGGATGCCACTGGTTCTTCACGCTCTGCAGATGTAGATGCCACTGGTTCTTCACGTTCTGAAGATGTAGATGCCACTGGTTCTTCACGTTCTGCAGATGCAGATCCCACTGGTTCTTCACGTTCTGCAGATGTAGATGCCACTGGTTCTTCACGTTCTGAAGATGTAGATGCCACTGGTTCTTCACGTTCTGCAGATGTAGATGTCACTGGTTCTTCACGTTCTGCAGATGTAGATGCCACTGGTTCTTCACGTTCTGCAGATGTAGATGCCACTGGTTCTTCACGTTCTGCAGATGTAGATGCCACTGGCTCTTCACGTTCTGCAGATGTAGATGCCACTGGTTCTTCATGTTCTGCAGATGTAGATACCAATGGTTCTTCACGTTCTGTAGATGTAGATGCCACTGGTTCTTCACGTTCTGTAGATGTAGATGCCACTAGTTCTTCACGTTCTGCAGATGTAGATGCCACTGGTTCTTCACGTGTTGCAGATGTGGATGCCACTGGTTCTTCACGCTCTGCAGATGTAGATGCCACTGGTTCTTCACGTTCTGAAGATGTAGATGCCACTGGTTCTTCACGTTCTGCAGATGCAGATCCCACTGGTTCTTCACGTTCTGCAGATGTAGATGCCACTGGTTCTTCACGTTCTGAAGATGTAGATGCCACTGGTTCTTCACGTTCTGCAGATGTAGATGTCACTGGTTCTTCACGTTCTGCAGATGTAGATGCCACTGGTTCTTCACGTTCTGCAGATGTAGATGCCACTGGTTCTTCACGTTCTGCAGATGTAGATGCCACTGGTTCTTCACGTTCTGCAGATGGAGATGCCACCACCGCCATCTATTGAGCGGCGGTTGAACTTACGACTCTCGGTCCGAACAGTCAACTGGACAAACGGACGGGTTTGTTCGTATCCCTGAAAGTCTGTGAGCCGAACGTTCGTAAGTACAGGAGCCCCCGTACATATGTCGCGTCACCGATTCAGAGGCAGAGTTTCTAGGAGGCACCTTCTTCATTAACAACTCCCACGGTCTCGTCCACACACCCTCCACAGTGGCTCAGCCCAGCCCGTACACGACACCGGCCGTGGAACGCTGACGGCGCTGACCGAGATAGCCAGCTGCTCTCCCTCGTAGCGCGACGTCTAGCGGAGACGTCCAGCGGCGACGTCTAGCGACGACGGGACGAGTCCTCTCCCAGCGCCGGCAGCCCCGAGCACCCCCCGCTCTCGGCTCCTTTTATGCTCCCGGCCCCGCCCCGACCGCGCCTCCCTTCTGGAACCCGCTCAGCAGGTTGTTCCGCACGGGGGACTCCGGCAGACGGGGTCCTCCATGACCCTTGCCCCAGTTCCTCCGCCCTGCCGACACGCGCCGGGCTCGCGCCCTCGCCGGCGTCTGGCCACCGCAGTTTGCCGCTGCTGCCCGCCAGCCGGCGCTATCACGCTGGGCATGTGCGCATACTCAGATTGTCATCATCGTCGTCATTGTCATCACCGTCGTCATTGTCATCACCGTCGTCATTGTCATCATCTTCGTCATTGTCGTCATCGTCGTCATCGTCGGCGTCGTCATCGTTGTCGTCCGCAGGGCCGGACTCGGTGGAGGCTAAGACCAAGCGCTTCCAAGTGACCTCGAGCTCCGGCAAGTTTCTCTTCTCAGCCGAAGACTCGGAGGTGGTGGTGGGAGCCGAGCGACTGCGCGTACTCGGTAAGCCCCTCCCCCCTCCCTCCCTCCCTCCCCCCTCCCTCCCTCCCTCCCTCCCTCCCTCCCTCTCTCCCTCCCTCCCCCCTCCCTCCCTCCCCCCTCCCTCCCTCCCTCCCTCCCTCCCTCCTCCCTCCCTCCCCCCTCCCTCCCTCCCTCCCTCTCTCCCTCTCTCCCTCCCTCCACCCTCCCCCCTCCCTCCCTCCCTCCCTCCCTCCCTCCCTCTCTCCCTCTCTCCCTCCCTCCCCCCTCCCTCCCTCCCTCCCTCCCCCCCTCCCTCCCTCCCTCCCTCCCTCTTCCCTCCCTCCCTCCCCCCCTCCCTCCCTCCCTCCCTCCCCCCTCCTCCCCGCTCCCTCCTCCTCCTCCCTCCCCCCTCCTCCCCCCTCCCCCCTCCTCCTCCCTCCCTCCTCCCCCTCCTCCTTCCTCCAACCCAGGGAGAGAAACGGTGATGGCCCCGGGCCCCACGCTTTGGGGGGCCTCTCCCTCCGCGTCTTTGACGTCGCTGCATGACGGCGTCGCGCACACACGCGCGGCTGTCGTGTACACGCGTCGGCGTGATGCTGCTATTAATGACACTGCCGATGCTGACGCTCCTGATGATGATTATGACGCTGCTGACGATTGTAATGATGATGCTGCTGATGATGCTGCTGACAATTGTAATGATGCTGGTTTGTCACAGGAGCTGAAGGTGCCTTATTTGAACATTCGATCCAAACGCCGCAAGTCAGAGCGGAGCCGTTCAAGCATCTCAGGTACCCAGAGAGCGACTTTAGTGGTCGTGGTGATGATGGTGATGATGGTGGTGATGATGGTGGTGATGGTGATGATGATGGTGGTGATGGTGATGATGGTGGTGATGGTGGTGATGATGGTGGTGATGGTGGTGATGATGGTGATGATGGTGGTGATGGTGGTGATGATGGTGGTGATGATGGTGGTGATGGTGGTGATGATGGTGATGATGGTGATGATGGTGGTGATGGTGGTGATGATGGTGATGATGGTGGTGATGGTGATGATGGTGATGATGATGGTGATGGTGGTGATGGTGGTGGTGATGATGGTGATGATGGTGGTGATGGTGATGATGGTGGTGGTGATGGTGGTGATGGTGGTGATGATGGTGATGATGGTGGTGATGATGGTGGTGATGGTGATGATGGTGGTGATGGTGGCGATGATGGCGGTGATGGTGGTGATGATGGTGGTGATGGTGGTGATGATGGTGGTGATGGTGGTGATGATGATGGTGGTGGTGGTGGTGATGGTGGTGGTGGTGGTGATGATGGTGGTGATGATGGTGGTGATGATGGTGGTGATGATGGTGATGATGGTGGTGATGGTGGTGATGATGGTGGTGATGATGGTGGTGATGATGGTGGTGATGATGGTGGTGATGATGGTGGTGATGGTGGTGATGATGGTGGTGATGGTGGTGATGGTGATGATGGTGGTGATGATGGTGATGATGGTGATGATGGTGGTGATGATAGTGATGATGGTGGTGATGGTGGTGATTATGGTGATGATGGTGGTGATGATGTTGGTGATGGTGGTGGTGATGGTGATGATGGTGGTGATGATGGTGATGATAGTGGTGATGGTGGTGGTGATGATGGTGGTGATGGTGGTGATGATGGTGGTGGTGATGGTGATGATGATGATGTTGGTGATGATGGTGGTGGTGATGGTGATGATGATGGTGGTGATGATGGTGATGATGGTGGTGATGGTGGTGATGATGGTGGTGATGGTGATGATGGTGATGATGGTGGTGATGGTGGTGGTGATGGTGATGATGGTGATGATGGTGGTGATGATGGTGATGATGGTGATGATGGTGATGATGATGATGGTGGTGATGGTGATGATGGTGGTGATGGTGGTGATGGTGGTGATGATGGTGATGATGGTGATGATGGTGGTGGTGATGATGGTGGTGATGATGGTGGTGATGATGGTGGTGATGATGGTGATGATGGTGGTGATGGTGATGATGGTGGTGATGATGGTGATGATGGTGATGATGGTGGTGATGATGGTGATGATGGTGGTGATGATGGTGATGATGGTGGTGATGGTGGTGATGATGGTGATGATGGTGGTGATGGTGATGATGGTGGTGATGATGGTGGTGATGGTGATGATGGTGGTGATGATGGTGGTGATGATGGTGGTGATGGTGATGATGGTGGTGATGATGGTGATGATGGTGGTGATGGTGGTGGTGATGGTGGTGGTGATGGTGGTGATGATGGTGGTGATGATGGTGATGATGGTGGTGATGATGGTGGTGATGGTGATGATGCTGGTGATGGTGGTGATGATGGTGATGGTGGTGGTGATGGTGGTGATGATGGTGATGATGGTGGTGATGATGGTGGTGATGATGGTGATGGTGGTGGTGATGGTGATGATGGTGGTGATGATGGTGGTGATGGTGGTGATGATGGTGATGATGGTGGTGATGGTGGGTGATGATGGTGGTGGTGATGATGGTGGTGATAATGGTGATGATGGTGATGATGATGGTGACGATGGTGATGATGGTGGTGATGATGGTGGTGATGGTGGTGATGGTGGTGATGATGGTGGTGATGGTTGTAATGATGGTGGTGATGATGGTGATGACAATCATCCTTGACCCTGTGGTGGTGGTAGTGGTGGTGTTGCTAACCCTCTGGTGGTGGTGTGGCTGACCCCAGGCTGGAGTCCCCGACCAGGGCGTTGTGGCTGGACGCGCCGCAGGGCGTGGTGGTGCAGGCAGACGCGGGGGACGTGCGAGCTTCTTGCCGCCAGGACCTCACGCTGGAGTCACGGGACGGAGCCGTGAGAGACACACGCGGGGAGACACGGGGGGGGGGGGGGGGGGGGGGAGACACGGGGAGAGAGACACGGGGAGAGAGACACGGGGAGAGAGACACGGGGAGAGAGACACGGGAAGAGAGACACGCGGGGAGACACGGGGGGAGAAACACGGGGAGAGAGACACGGGGAGAGAGACACGGGGAGAGAGACACGGGGAGAGAGACACGGGGAGAGAGACACGGGGAGAGAGAGACACGAGGAGAGAGACACGGGGAGAGACAAGGGGAGACACGGGGGGAGAGACACGGGGAGAGAGACACGGGGAGAGAGACACGGGGAGAGAGACACGGGGAGAGAGACACGGGAGAGAGACACGGGGAGACACGGGGAGAGACGGGGAGAGAGACACGGGGAGAGACACGCGGGGAGAGAGAGACACGGGGAGAGAGACGCGGGGAGAGAGACGCGGGGAGAGACACGCGGGGAGAGAGACACGGGGAGAGAGACACGGTGAGAGAAACACGGGGAGAGAGAGACACGGGGAGAGAGACACGGGGAGAGAGACACGGGGAGAGACACGCGGGGAGACACGGGGGGGAGACACGGGGAGAGAGACACGGGGAGAGAGACACGGGGAGAGAGACACGTGGGGAGACACGGGGGGGGGGGAGACGGAGAGAGAGACACGGGGAGAGAGACACGGGGAGACACGGGGAGAGAGACACGGGGAGAGAGACACGGGGAGAGAGACACGGGAGAGAGACACGGGGAGACACCGGGAGAGACGGGGAGAGAAACGCGGGGAGAGAGACGCGGGAAGAGACACGCGGGGAGAGACACGCGGGGAGAGAGACGCGGGGAGAGAGACACGGGGAGAGAGAGACACGGGGAGAGACATACACGGGGAGAGAGACAGGGGGAGAGAGACACGGGGAGAGAGACACGGGGGGAGAGACACGGGGGAGACGCGGGGAGAGAGATGCGGGGAGAGAGACACGGGGAGAGAGACACGGAGAGAGAGAGACACGGGGAGAGAGACACGGGGAGAGAGACACGGGGAGAGAGACACCGGGAGAGAGAGACACCGGGGGAGAGAGACACGGGAAGAGAGACACGGGAAGAGAGGAGCAGAATGGCACGGTGACAGGGAGAGAGAAGGGGAGACCGGAAGAGCGAGAGATGATTCACTCCGAGCAGACCGTGTGGCCGCTGGGTTTGGAAAGAGCACTCACATGTTGTGTGATGGAGGCACGCACCTCTGATTGGCTACGTACGGTGCGAAAGAAGTTCAACATACATGCATGCGTAGATGGTGGTGGTTGATGTTGATATCGCGGCAGTCTGGAAGGCTCTCCCTTCTGATATTGGGAAGCCACTGGGCGCTGCGAACTTTTAAATCATCATCATCATCATCGTCATCATCATCATCGTCATCATCATCATCGTCATCATCATCATCATCGTCATGATCATCGTCATCATCATCGTCATTTTGATCATCATCATCATCGTCATCATCATCATCATCGTCATCATCATCATCATCGTCGTCATCATCATCGTCATCATCGTCATCTTCATCATCGTCATCGTCATCATCATCGTCATCATCGTCATCATCATCATCATTGCCATCATCATCATCATTGCCATCATCATCAACATCGTCATCATCATCATCATTGCCACCATCATCATCATCATCTAGCTTGACAAACTAATATATTTAAAACTTCTTTGTTGCGCTTAGTTTTGCTGTCCTCACAGCGCGCCTCTCATTGCCACGCTTGGCCACGTACGGTGTGAAAGAAGTTCCACGTTCACGCACGGTCGGGCTCACGCGGAATTCGGGAATCTAGCAGGAGGTGGCGTGCGAGTCCCACAGCCACACCGTGGGGACGGCTGAACGTACTCTTTGGTTCTATTCGGTAAAGTCACGTCGTAGGTAAAAAAAACGTAAAACAACAGAAATCACGACGTTTCGGCCACAGCACAAGCGGCCTTCATCAGTTCAGATCTACAAGCGCAGACACAATTTCAACCGAGAGGGTGGTTTCAAATTAAGCAACCATTGGAAGGATGTTCTAAATCGAACGAAACATTTAACTAATTTTCAATGGTGCAGTATATTTTTCTCAAGTAGTGGTACCCCAAACTTTCGCAGCTCTTAAAAAATTCCCTTTTCACACCATCAATAGGTAAACTCCCCCTCCCCCACCCCCGCGCCAAACGGCAAGTCCACCCGCACGTACACCACCTCTATGCTAAGTCGGCCAATCAAATGCGAATTTTTATGCTAATTCCTTTGCCAAGGCACCTTGCTTCCTCGCACACAGCTTAAAGGTCCGCGGTCTGAGCGTGGCTGTGTTTCACTCCAGCGCTGTCCTCGAGACAGGGCTGATCCCTTCACCTGATGAAGGCCGCTTGTGTTGTGGCCGAAACGTCGTGATTTTTGTTGTTTTAATTTATAACCTACGTGGTGACTTTACCGAATAGAACCAAAGAGCATGGATCCTTGCAGTCACGAAAGCTTCAAATCTAGAATTGACGGCTGAACGATTTGGGGGAAATCTCCAATTGGGATTTTTTTTCTGACGGATATTGCGAGTGCGATTGGATTTGGGGTGAATTTTTTTTTGTCAAGTCAGGCTCCAGCTCGATATTCGCTGTGCAATAGATGTAAAACAGGCGATGGAGCGTGAGCACGCGACACCATCACGATATATGAACTGCTCCGTATAGTCTAGATGTAAAGCTTTCGTGACTGCAAGGATCCATACATACTCTTTGGTTCTATTCGGTAAAGTCACGTAAAAAAATAACAAAAAATAAAAATCAAAAAATTCTCGACGTTTCGGCCACAACACAAGTGGCCTTCATCAGGTGAAGGCACGTAAAAAAAAACAACAAAAAATAAAAAAATTCACGACGTTTCGGCCACAACACAAGTGGCCTTCATCAGGTGAAGGCACGTAAAAAAAAAACAACAAAACATTAAAATAAAAAATTCACGACGTTTCGGCCACAACACAAGTGGCCTTCATCAGGTGGCCGAAACGTCGTGAATTTTTTATTTTTATTTTTTGTTGTTTTTTCTACGAGACTTTACCGAATAGAACCAAAGAGTATGCTCCATATATTCTAATGCAAGGATGAGAGCTTGAGACAGCTTCCAACATGCATTCATTGCAATTTTTTAATTGCTATGGAACAATCAAACATGGAACAATTGTTAAGTGAATAAAGTTGTAGTAATAAAACACGAAACAATTCCATTAAGAAAGTAATAGGACTTTACAAATCGCAAAAAAAAAAGCCGCAGGCCTTTCCGATATGTTAATCGTATTGTTTCAAATTGCGATTGATCGATTGGAAATCGATTAGAAGTCGATTAATCGTTCAGCCCGAGTCCTGGGACCTCCCTTGCCACTATCAAACTATAACAATGAGTTTCGATTTGAAGCTTTCGTGACTGCAAGGATTCCCGACAGGTCTGTACCTTTCACCTGAAGACGGCCGCTTGCGTTGTGGCCGAAACGTCGTGAGAATTTTATTGTGTTATTTTATTATTTCATTCTCATTCTAGGTGACTTTACCGAAAGATCCAAAGAAGATGTAACAATGAGGTTTTTACCCTTTCCGGCAATAGCACTCGAGTTGGGTTATGACGTCAAAACACCAAACAGAATAATTTATCAAGGATTCGTGTTGCACAGCGGTTAGCACGCTACCGCTACGACCCGCGACTACGAACCCGAGTTCGATTCCCGCTCACGGCCAACACCAGCGCCGGCGATGGTTTTCCGAAGCGGTCCTGGGCCGCCTCCTCCCCTAGGTCGACTCAGCCTCAGCACGAGTCGACCTGGCGGTGCGGTAAAGACGTCGCCAAGTCGGGGAGACAAAGGCGGCCGGGCGGGCGTGGTTGCCGGCCAGCCACCCACCCCCTCGTGTGCCACTGTGCCCCCCCCCCCTTCATAGGCGCTGCTGCTGCTCGTGACCAACAGCACTTGCCCCAACAGTCTGCTACAGGCTGCACGGGGGATCTTTGTCTTTGTCTCTCCGATTGGCGCGGGGAGCGGTGGTGTAGTGGTTAGCGCTACGCTGCGCTACCAACCGGTCAGAGGCTCGGGTTCGATTCCCACTCACGGCCCACGCGGGGTGCTGGTGGCGGTGCGATGGGAGACAATCACTCATTGGGATCTCACAGAGCGAAGCGGATCAATAATATCATCATCATCGTCATCATCGCTACCACCTCAACGTCTGCCAGTAGGGTGGCGATGTTGCTGCTGTGTGGTCTAGCCTAGGGGCACCCCCAGTGGCAGCTGCCCCTGTGCGTCAGTCTGTCAGTAGGGTAGCGATGTTGCTGCTGTGTGATCTAGCCTAGGGGCACCCCCAGTGGCAGCTGTCCCCCGTATGAGTTACACAACAACAGCCGCTATTCGCCATTAAGTGGCGGTGACATCACCACGACGCTTGTGCCAGGCTATCTGCACGTTGAGGCCCCGTGAAGTATCAAACGCCCGCAGGAGGTCACGGGGCAGACCCAGCAGGTGCCACGGGTCGACTGACTGAGATGACTGGCTGATGCACCACCTGTGCCCCCTACTGTGCCAACCTGCTGTGCTTTGGCCACCCGGCGCTCCGCTCGTTGTTGTGAGCGTCGCTCCTCTGACCTCCGTTGTTGTTGGAGGGCGACTGCCTCTTACTGCCCAGTAGCGGCCTACACGAGCCTCCTCCACAGATGCCGATCTTGACACCGCTGGTACCAGTCATTGGCAAGTCCACTCAGCTCCACATCCTCCTGTACCACATCACTCCATCTCATCTCTAGCCCGTGTCGCGCCTGTTTAGCCCCCTCGATCCGGCCGAACAAAAGCTGTTTAGGCGGGCTACATGACCCAGCCAACATAACCTTGCCTGCTGGAGGAGCTCACCGATGGAACCTTATCCAGATCTTTCAAGGATTTGTGAGCTCCTCACACAATCCAGCCTGGTTAAACCCAGGATGGATCGTAGGCAGGCCAGCCTAAATGTTTCCAATCAGCGAAGATGCTCCATTAGGGGGTCCACGTTTCGCAAGCGTAGAGAAGGGAGGGAATGACCGTGGCCGAGAAGACTTGAAGCTTCGTGCGGAGCGACAGACCAGGTAGCTTCCACACAGCGTTACGCAACCGATGAAAAGATAATGCCGCTCGACTGATTCTGAGTGAGACCTCTGCTGTCAAATCGGAGCCGGTCATGAGCACACTGCCTAGATATGGGAAACTCTCCACTCTCTCCACAACTGCACCATCACCGATTGGGAGTTGTTGGGGTGGAGTGCCCGATGGTACAAAATACCCAGGCAGGTGCTTAGTTTTGGTGGGGCTGATGGTAAGGCCCCATCTCTTAGTGGCACGCTCCAGTTTCAGCAGCAGCGTCTCTAACGCCTCCTCTGAGTGAGCGGCAATTACCAGATCATCAGCATACATAACGTGGTTGAGCAATAGGGAGCCATCCCTTGACCACACCCGGGCATCGATCAGCCTCCCATTGTATCTGTACCAGATTGGAAATTCATCTGGTACAGCCATCAAAGGCTTCACGAACTACGTGGTCGAAAAATATGTTAAATAATGTGAGCCAGAGGACATCCCTGTCGCACCCCAAGGTGTACAGGGAATGGCTTCAACTCCCAGCCATGTAGTTTTACCCGGACCCGCTCACCATCATGAAGGTCCTAAATGATCATGAGCAGAGAGTCAGGGTCTTCGGAAGCACGAAGAACAACCCAGAGCCTAGGTCTACTGATGGTATCATAGGCCTTGACCAGGTCAATAAAGCAGAGATGTAGGTCTTGTGGGAATTCCCTACACCTCTGCTGTAGCAAACGGACAGAAAATATGGCATCTGTGCAGGACCGCCCTCTCCTCAGCGTGCCTGGCAAGGCGATGTTGAATAATCCTTGCCAGGACCTTTCCCGGCACACTGAGGAGTGAGATGCCCCTGTAGTTGTTACAGTCTGTGCGGTCCCCCTTCTTAAAGAGGGGGACCACCAGGGCATCATTCCAATCCTGCGGAACCCGTCCAGTGGTTCAGACTGTTGTTATGATGTCATGTAGGGCAGTCTGTGCACAAACGCCACCCTCCCTCAGCATTTCGCTTGGGAGATCATCTCTGCCCGCTGCCTTTCCTGGTCTCAGACTCCGGATCGCCTTCAGTACTTCCTCAACAGATGGCACCTCAGCCAGCCACTCACAGGGGGTGACTTCTTCTTCCAATATTTGAGGCACTGCAGCCTCAGCAGGGTCATCCCCACTTTGTCCCACGATGTTTTTCATGTGGAGGGATTTCTCCTCCCCCTGGACTTCACATAAATGCTCAGCAAATCTGCAAACCTGTTCCAGGGGGTCGGAGATTGGACCACCGTTTTTTCCCCTAATTATGGTAATAGGTGTGACACTGCAGGTTACTTTTTTATGGACTTAAATAGGGATTTGTGATCGCAGGCCATTGAGGGAAACTCCAAGGCTGTGGTAAGCCTCCTTATTCTCTGACGTGGGATGCTGTAGCCGATGACAGTGGGCCTGTCGCTTTTTCTCAGCCATCCTGAACACCTCCTCTGTCAGCCAGGGTCTCTGGGGAGGTCTGGACCGTGCACCCAAAGCAGCCATTGCAGCTGCATGAGTCACACTCTTAAAGCTCGCCCATTTACCCTCGACATATGGCAGAGTTAGGGGACGATGCTAACCCCAGCCGCAAGCGATGATGAAATTCTCGCTTGCAACTTTCATCAGCTAGCTGAGATCAAGCCACCTTAAGTTTGAATGGGGTCCTAGGTGTACACCCACCACCGGAGTGTAAGAATGGCAGGTGCATCTTATAGATGACAAGTCGATGGTCAAAGGGCAGATCAGCTCCACGGTAGGTCCTGGTGTCAAGGACATGGGCCCGCATCCGCTGTTCCGTCACTATGTAGTCCAGCAGATGTTCTTGCTTGGACCCGGCATGCATCCATGATGTTGTTAGGATGCGCCGATGCCGGAACAGCATGTTGGTAATTACAAGCCCATGGGCTGCACAAAAATCTAGCAGCCTCCTACCGTTGTTATTGAGCTGATCTGGCCATTCCTTCCAATCACTCCAGACCAGGTGCCAGCATTATGACCAACTCGGGCGTTGAAGTCACCCAACAAGATGACTCTATCCCGAGGGGCCATTTTAGCCAGCACCTGTGACAGGTCATAGAAGGCATCTGACTCATCGGCCTTGCCTGCATCCCTCCACGGATGTTCGTCTTCGGTGGGGGCATAAGTAACCACGACCACCACTCCTCGCCTCTGGTTGATGGGAAGGCGAGCCCAAAGTAGCCTGGGGCTTACAGCTTCCCACATCTCACTGCTATGCTCCCACGCCCCGCCCCCTTCATTATTTTGTTCAGAAGAAGAGACACTCCCTGTTGTTTGGCAGTCTCGTGCCCCGAGTAGAGGACTGTCCACCCCTCATGGTGACAGGAGCCAGAGCCGGTCCACCGATCCTCCTGAAAGCCACAGAGATCAAGGCGGTACCCGACAGAAGTGGCAGCCTCTCCTCCGCAGTGAGCGTTCGAACATTCCACGTGGCCATCTGTAGTGGCTTTTTGTTTTTTCTGGAGGAGCCCCGAGGGTAGAGATTCAATCTCCTGGCTCCGCCAAATGGGGTTTGGCCAGGAGACGTCATAGACGCCTGTCCCCCCGGGGCCTCCGGCACAAGCTTATTAATTAGATATAATTTTACTTGGTTTAGTGGTAATTTATTGATGGAGGGGTTACCAGCCCTTCGCACCCGTCCAGAGCCCCATTTGGCTGCTGTGGTGGCTACAAAGACCCTGAGGGGAAAGGCCAATTGGAATTGGCCCTCCCCTCCACGGTACTGTCCAAGACAGCGTTGCCCGTCCGGAACCACGAGGAGGTAGGGGGTTGTTTTTGCCGGACAACACACACAGACACAACAACAACCGCCATTCGCCATTAAGTGGCGGTGACGTCACCACGACGCCTGTGCCAGGCCATGTGCACCTTGAGGCCACGTGAAGTGTCGAACGCTCGCTGGCAGGTCACGGGGCAGACCCAGGTGCCGCGGGTCGACTGACTGAGATGACTGAGATGACTGGCTGATGCACCACCTGTGCCCCCTACTGTGCCAACCTGCTGTGCCTTAGCCACCCGGCCCTCCGCTCGTTGTTGTGAGCGTCGCTCCTCCGCCCTCCGTTGTTGTTGGAGGGCGACTACCTCCAACTGCCCAGTAGCGTCCTTCACGAGCCTCCTCCACAGAGGCCGATCTTGACACCGCTGGTACCAGTCATCGGCAAGTCCACTCAGCTCCACGTCCTCCTGTACCACATCACTCCATCTCTTCTCTAGCCCGTACCGCGCTCATTTAGCCCCCTCGATACGGCCAAACAAAAGCTGTTTCGGCATGCGGTGGCTGGGCATGCGGGGTACATGACCCAGCCATCGCAGCCTTGCCCGCCGGAGAAGCTCACCGATGGGACCTTGCCCAGATCTTTCAAGCATTTGTGAGCTCCTCACACAATCCAGTCTGGTTAAACCCAGGATGGATCGTAGGCAGGCCAGCCTAAATGTGTCTAACTGGCGAAGATGTTCCATTAGGGGGGTCCACGTTTCGCAAGCGTAGAGAAGGGAGGGAATGACCGTGGCCGAGAAGACCTGAAGCTTAGTGCGGAGCGACAGACCAGGTAGCTTCCACACAGCGTTACGCAACCGGTGAAAAGATATTGCCGCTCGACTGATTCGGAGTGAGACCTCTGCTGTCAAACCGGACACACACACCTGTACACACACACCTGTACACACACACACCTGTACACACACACCTGTACACACAAACACCTGTACACACACACCTGTACACCTGTACACACACCTGTACACACACGCCTATACACACATACACCTGTACACACACACCTGTACACACACACACACCTGTATACACACCTGTACACACACACCTGTACACACACGCACACACACCTGTACACACACCTGTACACCTGTACACACACCTGTACACACACACCTGTACACACACACCTATACACACACCTGTACACACACCTGTACACCTGTACACACACACCTGTACACACACGCACACACACCTGTACACACACCTGTACACACACGCACACACACCTGTACACACACACACCTGTACACACACGCACACACACCTGTACACACACCTGTACACCTGAACACACACACCTGTACACACACCTGTACACCTGTACACACACCTGTCGTGATGGCCGGGTTGTTGCTGTTGTGGTCTTCGAGGGCAGATCGTGCTGGACTCGGAGACGATCCGGGTGCCGAACCTCCCGCGGGGTGGCGGCGGTGGCCCCCCGGGGCAGGGCCAGCGGGCGCCCGAGGGGGTCCACGAGCTGTGTGCGTGTCCCGGCGGGAAGCTCTACCTGGCCGCGGCCAAGGCCGAGGGGGGCCAGGGGTGCCGGGCCGCGGGGGTCGTGTGCGACTGAGTGCGTGCACGCGCACGCACGCACGTGTGAGTACACGCGCGCACACGCTCACACACGTGCGTACACACACACACGCACGGACGTGTGTACATGCACACACACGCTCACACACGTGCGTACACGCACACACGCGCGCGCGAGCGTACACGTGTACACACGCACGTGTGTACACGTGTACACACGCACGCACGTGCGTACACGCGCACTCACACACGTGCGTACACGCACACACACACGTGCGAGTGTACACACGTGTACACTCGCACGTGTACACACGGACATACACACGTGTACGCACACACGCGTACGTGTGTGCAGACGAACATACACATGCGTACACACGCACACGTATGTACACACACATACACACAAACATACACACACGTGTGTACACACACACACAAATTTACACACGTGTCTAATTTACACACACACACGTGTGTAAATTAGACACGAACATACACACGTGCACACACGCACACGTGTGTACATACGCTCATGGACACGTGTCCAGACACACACGTGTACATATGAACATACACAGACGTATACATATGAACATACACACACGTATACACAAAGATCCCCCATATAGCCTTAACAGACTGTAGGGGCAAGTGCTGTTAGCGAGCACCTATGCAGGCCGGAACGGTACACGAGGGGGTGGGTGGCCAGCACCACGCCCGACCGCCTTTGTCTCCCTAGTGGCAATGTTTACACACCGCACCAGGTACTCATTTGAGGCTGAGTCGACCTAGGGGAGGCCCGGGACCGGTTCAGATAATCGTCACTGGTGTTGGCCGTGAGCGGGAATCGAACCCGGGTCGCCAGGATCATAGCGCACACACGTGTACACACGCATTACATTATGTGTGTACACACACGTGTACACACGCATTACATTGTGTACATACACACGTGTACACACGCATTACATTGTGTGTACACACACACACACACGCGTGTTAAGTGCGCGTGTGTGTATATGTTTATGTGTGTATGTGTTTGTGTTACGTGTATATATGTTGGCACAGTAGGGGTCACAGGTGGTGCATCTGACAGTAGTCATCTCAGTAAGTCGACCCGTGGCACCTGCTGGGTCTGTCCCGTGACCTCCTGCACGTAGCCTGGCACAGTAGGTGTCACAGGTGGTGCATCTGGCAGTAGTCATCTCAGTCAGTCAACCCGTGGCACCTGCTGGGTCTGTCCCGTGACCTCCTGCACCTAGCCTGGCACAGTAGGGGTCACAGGTGGTGCATCTGTCAGTAGCCATCTCAGTCAGTCGACCCGTGGCACCTGCTGGGTCTGTCCCCGTGACCTCCTGCCAGCGGGCGTTCGACACCTCACGTGGCCTCAACGTGCACCTAGCCTGGCACAACAAGGGCCATATGTATGTGTATATGTATACTTGTGGGGAGCTGCAATGTAGTGGTTAGCGCTGCGCTACGAACCCGGCGACCCGAGTTCGATTCCCGCTCACGGCCACCACCACTCAGCGACGATTATCTGAACCGGTCCCGGGCCTCCCCTAGGTCGACTCAGCCTCAAATGAGTACCTGGTGCGGTGTGTAAACATTGCCACTAGGGAGACAAAGGCGGCCGGGCGTGGTGCTGGCCACCCACCACCTCGTGTGCCGTTCCGGCCTTCATAGGTGCTGCTCGCTAACAGCACTTGCCCCTGCAGTCTGTTAAGGCTATACGGGGGATGTTTGTATATACGTGTACATATGTGTGTGTATGTGTGTAATAATATGTATATACGTGTGTATTTGTTCTCTAATGCTCTTTTTTTGTATGCCCCCTCCCATCGTTTTTTTAGGAAACCTCCGACTTCTGAGGCGATCCACGCCACTCATTTGCGGGAGTCGATTATTATTATAATTATTATATATTCTTTGTCGCAAGAAGGAGGAAGCTGCCCGTTTGCATAAGGAGGCGGGAAACGTGTATCTCGAGGGCTGGGGGTGGTGTGGGTGGCGGAAACACAGGAAGAAAAACAACCCGGCGAGTTCTGAGGCTGTTACGCGACTTTCTTTCGAAAACGAAATGGCCTGGGAAGAGACGGCGGGATGGCGGATTTTGCGTTGTGAATAAAGTTAACCGAGACAGAAGATGAAGAAGTTGATGAAGATGACGGTGGTGGTCGCGCAACTGTTTTTAATCATTATTACTACTACGATCATGGAACAACCCTAAACCCCGCAAGAGAGACGTTATCGCGGTTGAGGAAATTTTTTAAAAAACGTGGTTTTTCCCCCCTCCGCCAAAGTAACAAAATGGCGTCGTAGGAAAACAAAATGGCGTCGCTGAAACAAAAATGGCGGCGACGAAAACTATTTTTGTGACAAAATCAACATCTAGGAGGCTCTTTGCTCGCGAATGAACGGATATTTGTCTAAAAGTTTAACCGAGTGTGCGTTTGCGACAAATATGCAGTGTTCATCCTGGCCGGATGTCGGTAGCGTGTGTTTGTTTCTGAGGTGATTTTTAAATATATAATAACAATAATCTGAGGTGATTTGTACATTAATCACTGGGGGCGACGTGGCGAATATAAAAAAGACCAGCAGATGATGATGTCTCCTTCACGTATTAGCCTCTCCAAATAAAGAATCCACAATTTCAGCAGCATTGATTCAGTATAAAGCTTGAGTGAATCAGCATTGATTCAAGCAGAACCTGGCTTTGCTGATGAGATGCTGAAAATGCGTTAAAAAAGAGCTTCATAGCTCATCAGATTCCTCCAGTATAAAAAAATATTCTGATTCAATGCCGTTGAAAGCTATTCACTTACCGAAAGCCGTGCGTGTGGCTAATGGGATGTGTTAAAAGAAAAAAACGAAAGTTATTCTATTTTATGTGGAGAGGTGGATATATGACGAAGATGCAATCGTCTGATTATGTATTTTGTTACGAGGTGATTTGGGTCATATTTGAAAAATGAAATGACAATACAGTATTGTTAATGACGGAGTTCTGAACGCTTATGGTTTTACAAGGTGAATGGGCTATATCGGAAGCCCCGGTATGCATTTGTCTGGGTTTTTATTTCATATTAACAACCGTGTGTCGATTAATATTCCTTTAACGGTTTGTTTGTTTTTGAGAATAAACACGATATTTCTTGGAAGTTTGCACTGTTAACCGTCGGATTAAAACTCATAAATTTACCACTCTAAAAAATTTGGCGGCTACAAAATAAATCACGTGGCGTTTTACAAATCGGCAGGAGGCGTTCTTTCAGGAACACAAGTTTGTGGGACAATTATATATATAAAAAAGGATTTCTCGATTCATGAACGTTGGATTTTTTTGTTGCTAAAATATTTACGAACATATGAAGAGTGACCCAAAGGGCACCGTGACGTGATGTGCGCTTGGAACCCCAGCGTCCCCCGAGTTCAATTTCCCGCTCGCGACCGACAACATGCTGAGCTTCTTTTGCACCGTACGTAGCCAACCGTGCTGATCGGAGGTGCGGGGGGGAGGACAACATGGTAGACACAAAAAGCAATTCATAATAAAGGTTTTTGGGGTTAGATTGGGTCAGTATAAAAATGTTGTGTCGTGACCCTCCCCCACCTGACACGGCCAGTAAGGGATTTGTCACGTAACCAACGCGCGCCAATTAGTTTGCGACTTCGGCCCACCGCTGTGTTGGAGAGTAAATCCACAACATTTTCCGACTTGAGTGGCACGACGTTTCGCTGCTAATCACGTCGACCAGCATCATCGGGCGATTTTGCCAGAATGGCGAAGGCAATCCACCTGGATTTAAAGCTTTCGTGACTGCAAGGATTCACCTTCTTTGGTTCTTTCGGTAAAGTCACCACGTAGAATGAGAATAAAATTATAAATTTATAAAATAACACAATAAAAATTCTCACGACGTTTTCGGCCACGACACAAGCGGCCTTTGATCAAGTGAAGGGACGAGACTGTCTGGAGGACAGCGCTGGAGCGAACACAGCCAAGCTCAGACCGCGACCTTTAAGCTGTGTGAGAAGAAACAGAGCGCCTTGACAAAGGAATTAGCACTTTAACATAGCCATTTCTGTGACCAGTCACTTAGCTAATCACTCAGCTATTTCAATGCTAAATTCTATGCTAATTCCTTTGTCAAGGCGCTCTGTTTCCTCTCACACAGCTTAAAGGTCGCGGTCTGAGCTTGGCTGTGTTCGCTCCAGCGCTGTCCTCCAGACAGTCTCGTCCCTTCACCTGATGAAGGCCGCTTGTGTTGTGGCCGAAACGTCGTGATAATTTTATTGTGTTATTTGATTTTATTAATTTATTATTTTATTCTCATTCTACGTGACTTTACCGAAAGAACCATAGAAGAACAATCCACCTGCTTCCAGTCTTAAATAGAGCAGCATCAGGACGACGTCATCACTGAACCCATCACGTGCAGAGATCAGAGGTGGGGGAGGGGGGTTATTGTAATTATCGAATAGATTAGGAATCATTTAATTCTTAAATGTTTTTTTGGGGTTAGATCACGTAAATATATAAATGTGTTGTTAAACCCACCACCACCCGACACAGCCAAATAGTAAGGGTTATTCTTAGCTTTTTCGGTAAAGTCACGTTGAAGGGAAACAATAAAATATATAAAACAATACAAATTCTCACGACGTTTCGTGAGAATTTTCTCACGACGTTTCGTGATAATTTTTATTGTTTTATATATATTTTATTATTTTATTGTTTCCCTTCAACGTGACTTTACCGAAAGAGCTAAGAATTAATGCAAACCAACACACCTGATGACGACCGTTTGTGTTATGGTCGAAACGTCGTGAGAATTTTAGTTGTTTCATATATATTTTATTATTTTATTGTTTCCCTTCAACGTGACTTTACCGAAAGAGCTAAGAATATGAATTACTGCAGTCACGAAAGCTTTAAATCAAAATTTATAGTAAGGGTTGTCACATAAACAGAACGTGCCAATTCGTGACTAGTACAGCACCACCGGTATGTTGGAGATATTGGTCGCGGAAGTCTACGTGTTAAATCATTTAATTAGCATGCGAATCCTCTACAACAAAAAATAAGCAATTCTAAAGCAATGAGTTTGTCAATCTAGATTTCTAGACTCTTTGGTTATTTCGGTAAAGTCACGTAGGTAGAAAAATAAAGAATAAATCACGACGTTTCGATCGCAACACAAGCAATCGTGGAAAGATACAGCAGTAGAACTGCTGATTTCTAGATTTTAAAAGTGCCACAGCTCCCAGTGGCTTCCTAACATCGGACGGAAGAGCGCGTTCCAGACGGCCGCGGAAGCAGCGCAATCCGAAAGCGGCGCGCGACGCGATGACGGCAGAGCCAAAAGCCGCTGCCGCCGCTACAAGGATGACGAGCGGAGTTCGCGTGGCCGATGGTCCGATGCTCATCGGCCAAGGTATCGTGGCGTAACGACTTGACGCACTTCTCTTGAGATGTCACTTCATTGAAGACACGTTCACTTGACATCAGGCGGAGACCCCACCGCAACAGCCCCGAGGTTTCCCGCGCATCTCCCCCTTATATACCAACCGAGGCTACGCCCCCTTTCCCGAACCTTCTCACTGACTCTGGACGCTAGCTCCACCGACAGACTCCACCGTCCTCTTCCGTCACATGACCACGCTCCCTTCTCAATCGTTCCTGTAGCCACCAGTCCCTTCGCACTCACAACTGACTCCCCTGTCATTACCTCCCGTGGCCACCAGTCCCTTCGCACTCACAACTGACTCCCCTGTAATTACCTCCCGTGGCCACCAGTCCCTTCACACTCACAACTGATGCCCCTGTCACTACCTCCCGTGGCCACCAGTCCCTTCACACTCACAGCTGATGCCCCTGTCATTACCTCCCGTGGCCACCAGTCCCTTCACACTCACAGCTGATGCCCCTGTCATTACCTCCCGTGGCCACCAGTCCCTTCACACTCACAGCTGATGCCCCTGTCATTACCTCCCGTGGCCACCAGTCCCTTCACACTCACAGCTGATACCCGTGATTACCTCCCGTGGCCACCAGTCCCTTCACACTCACAACCGATACCCCTGTCCATTACCTCCCGTGGCCACCAGTCCCTTCACACTCACAACCGATACCCCTGTCCATTACCTCCCGTGGCCACCAGTCCCTTCGCACTCACAACTGATACCCCTGTCATTACCTCCCGTGGCCACCAGTCCCTTCACACTCACAACTGATACCCCTTTCATTACCTCCCGTGCGTGGGTCGCCTGTCGTGTGCGGTTGTAGGTGCGTGGGTCGCCTGTGTAGTAGCGTGCAGTAGCTACTACACGTGTAGTAGCGACTACTGGCAGTTGCAGACTGCACGGACAACGGAGAGCAAAGTGCCACCTTTCTCTGAGCGAAAGTTGGCCCTGGGGACTTCCGCAGACAAAGTTCCTCCGCAACAAGCCACCAACAAAGACAAAGATCACCCGCGTAGCCTCGGGGCAAGTGCTGTCAGCAGCGCAAGCTCTCCGAAGACTCCGCTGGAAAGCAAAGCAATTTTTTTTTTTATATAGAAATGGACTTCAAGATATAGTTTTCAAACACCAAATGTGACCCTTGCAAAAGGGACAACTTTCGCCTCAAAAAGGGTCACAGAGTGCAGTAATTATTAATATGAGGCAGTGACGTGAAGGTTAAATACATTGGGAATTTCCCGCACACCACCACATCCAGTATACACATTTATTTTGGCTGTAGCGACTCTTAACCACTCACAGGCCACCTACCCACATCTACGCCGTGTCCCGGACAGCACTAAACTAAGCAATACAACTAAACTATTATTTTTTATTTTACCAGGTAAGGAGAACTGAGATAAATACAAGTCTGTACTATAACGCCACGTGCTGTTTTTCATAACGCGAATTGGATATAACGCAATGATTAATGTATTACAGGGAAGACACTTTTGTATATAACGGCGAATGAGATTCGGATACAAATAGATGATTAATGTATTACAGGGAACACATTTTTGTATATAACAGCGAATGACAATTGGATACAAATCGATGATTAATGTATTACAGGGAACACATTTTTGTATATAACAGCGAATGACAATTGGATACAAATCGATGATTAATGTATTACAGGGAACACATTTTTGTATATAACGGCGAATGACAATTGGATACAAATCGATGATTAATGTATTACAGGGAACACATTTTTGTATATAACGGCGAATGACAATTGGATACAAATCGATGATTAATGTATTACAGGGAACACATTTTTGTATATAACGGCGAATGACAATTGGATACAAATCGATGATTAATGTATTACAGGGAACACATTTTTGTATATAACGGCGAATAAGAATTGGATACAAATAGATGATTAATGTATTACAGGGAACACATTTTTGTATATAACGGCGAATGACAATTGGATATAACGCGATTATGAATGTATAATAGGGAACACATCTTTCTACAACGCGGAATGCGAAGTGGATACAACACGATAGAACGAACGGAACTACACCGTGAGTAGGGATAAGCGCTCGTAGCGGCTGCCTCTGGTGTAGCGTCGTCGTCGTCACGCAAGGCACTGGGATGCTGCTGGATGCTTCTAGATGCTACCCACGCGCCTCGGTCTTTGCACGGCCTGCATTGTGCATCGCGCGTGCTATCGCGGGCTGTGCTCTACCCCCTATATTAATGATCATAACGCGGGGTTCTTGAGGAACGCCACTGCCCGCCGCTGCGTCATAGGAGAACAGGCCTCTAGCTCTTTTACAGAAGGGTCCTGGCCACAAATGACAGCTCAAGCAAGCGGGCTTATCATCATCATCATCATCGTCGTCGTCGTCGTCGTCGTCGCGTGTAAATGCACAGCGGTCAAGTAACTCTTGAGCGCACGCCGCTTCCCAATGTCGAGGGAGAAACCTGGAAGACCCGGAGAAAAATTCCGCGCGACGACACGGGGAGAGGGAGAGGCTCCGAATACACCACGTGCGTCGTCGGGCCTGCGATGGAACCCACGGCGCAATCCTAACCCAAAGCGTTGGGTTAGGATTGCGGGGAGTGGCGGCACAGTGGTTAGCGCGCCGCTCCATGAACCCGGCTGTGACCCCAGTTCGATTTCTGCTCAAGGCCACCGCCACCAACACCACCACCACAAACAACAACAACAACCGGTGAAGATTACCTGAACCGTTCCTCCGCCTACCCTAGGTCGACTCAGCCTCGAAATGAGCAACCCCATCGTGTACCGTGCCGACCTCTATAGGCGCTGCTCGCTAACAGCGCTTGCCCCGACAGTCTG